ACAAATAAAAAATACAAAAGAGATTGAAGGTTTTTTTTTTCTGAAAATAATGTATCATTTAGTGATTGTGGGACAACTGAAAATCCATCTATAAAAGTACTGTAGATCATAGCTCACATATTTTACCAAAATAAATTTCAGAGGACTTTAAGACATAAAAGTAAAGGTAATGCCCTAAAATACCACAGGTTAAATATCTCTTTTACAAATGTTTGGGACCAAAAGTGTTTCAGATTTAGTTCTTCATATTTTAGAATATTTGCATATACATAATGAGAAATTTAGAGGATGGGACCTAATTCCCTAAACATGAAATTCATTTATTTTCATATACATGTTATACATATAGCCTAAAGTTACTCTTTATGCAGTATTTTTTTATTGCAGCATTTTGAATGTAAACTATCACATTGGGTCAAATGTGGAATTTTCTACTAATGGCATCACATTGACACTTAAAAACATTCAGATTTCAAAGCCTTTCAAATTTCAGATTTTCAGGTCAGGGATACTTAACCTGTAGAAAAAAATATCAGGGAGTTATAACTGTGGAAGGCCTTTACAGGAAAGTCTTTATAAATTAGAAGCAAATCTTAGAAACTTTAAAAGAAAATATTAATAGATCACAGGCAAAAAAATAATTTAGGAAGGAAAGGACTACTACAGATTGGCAGGTAAAATTTTAACAATATTATTCATAAGAAAACTAAAAAAGTAAACCACAATTAGATTCCCATATTCACTTATCAGATTGGTAAAAATCAAACTATGTGATAATTCTATTGTCAGTACAACATCTCTGGCAATAGCTCTCTAAGACGTTTTCAAAGGGTCTACAAGGTCAAAACTGCTTTTATAATAATACTAAAACAGTATTTGCTTTTTTTTTTTTTTTTTTGGTGGTGTTGACATGTTGAAGTGATGAGGCAAAGGTCGCTAACAATTTAGCACAAATCAAAGGACACCAACCTTACCAGCATTCATTTTATTTTTCATTAGCATACTCTCACAGGGTTAAAATGAAGAAGGAACATAAATAAATAAATAAATAAATAAATAAATAAATAAATAAATAAATAGTTTTACAAAAGAATATTTTTGATGATGAAACAAAAAATAGTAATTTTTTACTAAATCTCAACCTTTGTGTATACATCTTTTTTTTTTTAAGAGTGAGATTTTTGTTACAAGGCAAATATGCTCACTGGAGAGACAGACAGAAAAGGAGAAATCACCCCTTAGGGGAGATGACCATGCCATCATCTCTTCCCCTCCATTCTCTTCTCAAGATTTTGGACACACCCACACATACGCCTTCTGCATGAGTTTCAAGCTGCCGGGTCTGGGAGTCCAGCAATGTAACCCCTACACCATCTGCTGGTCCCTATCTTTTTAATACTCTGGGTGGGGATATAAGAACCATGCATAAAACACTTCTCTATAAGAAGTACAATGGTTGTCTTAATGATAAGCACTCAGGTACAACATGAGTTGCAAACTTAGCTAGCCACTTTTTAATTTTTTTTTTTTATATAACACCATTTACTTGAAAGAACAGTTGACAAACTATGGTTATTCAGGGTTGGGTATTTGATACATGTTTTATCTAAAATGAACAAAGTAAACTTGTCATTTCAATAAAACAATTGACAGGTTTTGGTGTCAATGTTAAAAATTGGAGCTTTTGAGCAAAATTCAAAATTTGGGAATGACCTGACAGCTTCCCTGCCAGGGTCCAGCCTCGGTGGGGGTGGGTTAGTTGAGACTTGTACACAGGAAGGTGACACGGGTGATCAGGACAAAAATTAGACTAAAACCTCAATGCTTCTTAGCATGTTCTCAGCCGACCACAGCCAGAGCCAGCTCCAGGCTGCCGCGCAGTGGCTAGGGGTGAGGGGAAGTAAAAAATTTACTCTAAGGAACAGGGCATACAAAGCATGGAAGCAATAATTATAAAACATGCTGTTTGTCCTCTCAGATCAGGTAAAATCAATCACAGTTCTCAGGATGAGGAAATCCATTTGTCTGTTGTATTTTCTTCTTAGATCTTGATTACTGGGAAGGGTCTTCAAAAGAGGGGGTTGCAGGAAGTTTGGTAACTTCAGTCCCAGGTCAGCTTGATAACTTCAGTCATGGGCCAGCCAGGGCAACAACATTGCTGGTTGCAAAGGCCTAGAGAGAAATCTTGTCTTGTTAAGTGAAGACATAGTTAATATATGGACTATCTATATATTACATCAAAAGACGGTGAGTCTATTACCCATATGGGAAAGGAAGATGATCTTGTAGCTCAGGAGACAACACAGGATGTTTTATTAGCAGTTTTTTATAGTCAACAGCACATAGATGAGAAACTTTGTAGTTGAAAACTACCTGTTGCTTTAGATAAGAGCTCTCAGCGAAGATAGTTAATCTTCCTCTGGAGCCTTCAGATTTGTTCATCCTGTTGTCGCCAGCCAGGCTTTTCCCTTTTTTAAAAAAACCCATGGGTTTCTGTACTTTGTTTGCTGAGTCTGTCAATTAGTGAGTTCTTTTGTTTTATCTCTGGATCCCTGTTTTATGGTGAATGTGCTGACTTTGCCTAGCATGAGTTAACTTTGGTCTGTAGCTTTAACAAGGGGTATTTACATAAAACTAGCCTTAAACTAACGTAGTCTACACATGCTTCTAATGCTAATTTGGTTTATACTAACTTAACCTATATGTTAATTTTGGCTTAAAACACACAGTTTAGGGAGTCTCAAACTCCCTGGCCCTCTCATGCCCCTTTTAGGAAACCACATTCCTACAAGATCACTAATTGGCTTTATTGTAATGGTTGTGGGTGATATTTTACCCTTGCAGGGTACCATAATAACTGTAAAGCTCATGGCAGAGAAATTGACTACGGGCCAGTACGACACAAGGAGGGCTCGTAAACCAGGCCTTGCCTCAGTTTCTTCCCAGTCCAGGCCTTGCCTTTTAGACATGGGAGGCAGCCTCTCTACCAGCTTGTGTTGTCTGCATGGCCCTGTCACTTCCCAGTATTTAAAGACATCTGGTGGGTATTCTTGCCTGTAATTGAGTCTCTCTGTCTCTCAATGTCTCTAATTCTCAGTAGTCTATATCTATATATCTATATACTGTCTAATCTATACAGTTTTATCATACAGTTTTTTCCCTTTATTTTATATTAAAAACTCAACAATGTTATTTAATGTTGAACTTGATTATCACAAATGGTATTAATCGTAAGGATTATAAGACATCAAATCAGGGGCTGGGGAACCAGCAGTTAGCATAATGGCTATTTTGCTGGACTCCCACATAGTACACCGCGGTTCGAGTCCCGGACCCGGCAGCTTAAACTCATGCCAGGCACGTGTGTGTGCATGCCCAAGATCCCAAGAGAAGAATGGAGGAGAAGGGATTGCAGCATGGCCATCCCCCCTGGGGAGGGGGGGAATTCTAGCTTTCTGTCTCTCTGTCTCTCTCTGTCCTTCTGGCGAGTACATGCACCCTATAGCAAAAACCTCTCAAAAAAAAAATCATGGAGCCGACAGGTGGCATGGTGGTTAAGGTGCTGGATTCCCACTTGACTGACCACAGTTTGAGTCCCAGACATGGCAGCTTGCTATCTCACTTTCTCTCTCTCATTCTAGTCAAATTTAAAAAATAATAATAGTGATGAATAAAATTAAATCAATAATTCTTTTTTTTTTTTTTGAGAAGTTTTTGCTCTCAGGTATGTGTGCTCACCAGAAAGACAGAGAGATACAGAGAGATAGAAAGCGAGAAATCACCCACCAGGGGGGATGGCCATGCCGCAATCCCTTCTCCTCCATTTTCCTCTCGGAATCTTGGGCACACACAGAACTGCCGTCAGCTACATGGAAGTTCAGTGACATAGCCATTATGCTAACTGCTGATCCCATAAATAATTCTTTTTTAAAAATCAATTCATGTAATTAAATAAATTAATTTTTCACATTACTGTGCCTTTTTACTTTTCCTTGCTGATGTCTGCTTCCATTAGCTAGATTTTCATTCTGCTCAGTCTAAAATTGTTATTTCTTTTCTTTTCGAATACATTACTGGAGACTTGGTTGGCTTATTATAGTTGTATCCCTCAATATGTAAACCTATATAGTAAAGGATATTTCTTTTAATAAATAGTTTAATTTTTTTCCAAGTGTAGGCACTACCTTGAACACAAGTTAAATGATGTAATAAACCATAGCAAATAAATCAGTAATTTAGAACTATACAAAACTCAAGCAAAATTTAAAAGCTAAGTCACTGCTTCACTATGAATGTCCATGTAAAGAAATTTAGCTCTGGGATATCAAAATCCGTAAGACCCATCAGGTAGAGGAGGCAGGAGCAAAAAGGGGGTGCGATAGAGGAGCCAACTCCAAGCTTCTCTGTAACCTCACCTCTAGAAGTGTTTGCAGAATAGTGTGCAGCTTTGTAAAACGCAGTCATGTGGAAAGGACATCTGTATTCCCTTCATTTGCTTTTTTATGGATAAAAATTTATTGGTGCTTTTTAGAAGCCAGAGTGCTGAGAGCTATATAACTCTTGAAGTTCGTGCTGAATAAAAGGTACTTAGAGTACGTATAAAAATAGTCTCATGTTTAAAATAGACTGTATACTAATTGATTACTACTCACATGCTTATTTTTGTCCAGTGGGAGCCATGATAATTATGAAAATAAGTCAAAGGCTGTATTTTTAAAAATTGATGATTTTTAAAATTAAAGCCTGAAGTGGGGTCCTATTCCAACACTGGGTAAATAAACCACATAAATATTTGCAATTTAAAATGAGATACAGTCAAGATAATAGGTAGCAATGGCCGGAGTGATTTTTTAAATTGATTACATTATAAAGCCATGCATCAAATTCATTGGTGTTATCCAGATTGATGTAAATCTTAAGCAAATAGGAAATTTAATCTGCCATACAAGAACACCTTGTTTTGTGACTGTTAATGAACTCTTGAGGTTTCTTTTTGGCAGACGGAGATGGACACATGGACCACTTACTGCCAGGCTGTGAAGATACAAACTGCCAGAAAAGTACCATTTACTTAGCAAAATCTGGAACAAAGCAGGTATGTTGCTTGATTTTTCATGTAAATAGAGCTTTGTGCTTGCAAAGAATCTTCAAGGTAGAAAAGATATCTGAAGAATTAAAACAGATAAACCCAAAATACTGATATCTTAACTTCCTCATTTGAACTTAATGAAATACATTTCAGGTTTTATTCATTTATTGAGACAAAAAGTACTGTTATCATTTCTGGTGAGGAAAACCCATTCTGAATCCTGTAATTAAATGAGCTGGTAGTATTTATTATGCTAGAAGCATGGCAAAACAGGCTATAGTAAAGGGTTATGTAGAAGAACATCATGTCTATTTTCAAAGCTTACCTTTCTATTTGTGTTGTCTAGCTCTATTTCCTTCCTTTGTGCTAACTTTTTACTAGAAGTTGCAGGTAAACAGTTTGAGATCTGATAGTCACAGCAGAGGATTAATATGGAAATGATAGGTTATGACAATACTAATAGAATTACTTAGTTTTATTTGATGGAATAACACATTGACTTTTGTAGTCTTATGGATAGAAAAGCTCACATTTTATACTAAATCACTAAAACAAACAATCAACAACCCTAAAGCATTTAAATATTAATTACACTCTTAAGTAATATGATCTTAAACTGTTTTGAAGTTTCAAATCATTTAAAACGTTAGGTTGGGGTCAGCAGATGGAGTGGTAGTGAAAGGTGCTGGACTCCCATATGGCTGACTTGGTGGCTTGCTTTCTCACTTCCCTCTATCTCTCTCTCTCTGCCTCTCTCTGATCAAAACTGGAAAATAATAGTAATAATAATTAATAAAGTTAAATATTAAAAAAGTTAGGTCAAGTAACACCTTAATATTGGTCCATAGGAATAAGCAACTTGGCACTTATAGCATATCTTCAGATGATAGTCTGCTAATACTTTCTTTTCATATTTTTTCTAGAATTATTTATTCAATTTAATTTATTCATTATTTTTCTTCAATTTGACCAAAGAGAGAGAAAAGGAGAATGAGAAATCAAGCCACCAGGTCCAGGACTCAAACCACGGTCAGTTCAGCCACATGGGAGTCCAGTGCCCTTAACCAACTTGCCACCTATTGTCATCAATATTTTATTTTCTTTCTTTTCATATTTTTTCTAGAATTATTTATTCAATTTAATTTATTCATTATTTTTCTTCAATTTGACCAAAGAGAGAGAAAAGGAGAATGAGAAATCAAGCCACCAGGTCCAGGACTCAAACCACGGTCAGTTCAGCCACATGGGAGTCCAGTGCCCTTAACCAACTTGCCACCTATTGTCATCAATATTTTATTTTCTTTAGAATTATTTATTTTAGGGACCAGCAGTTAGCGTAATGGCTATATCGCTGGACTCCCACATAGTCGACCGTGGTTCACATCCCGGACCCAGTGGCTTAAAACTCATGCCGGGTGCGT